TGAAAGAGACAATGCCCAATGCATAACAGCTGTGAGTGAAACCGTTCTTCCTTGGAGTCTGGGGCAGCCTGACCCTGGGCACCTCAGCAGGCCTGGAGTACGCTTGTGATCTTTAGAGGGCTGAATATAGCCCTAAGCACTTTTTGACTTGCAGAGAAAAAGAATTTCAGCTATTTAAAACATAAAAGTTGGCCAATATGTTTAGTTCAAAGTTGAAGAGTGGGAGGTCTGAATATGCTAAATGGAGGTCTGCACTATTGATAAGAGAGACCTCTTGATCTCAGGCAGGCGGCTGCCAGAGGCCACCCAACCTCACTGTCAGGCTCCAGACTTTGGAAGCTAAGATCTTCCCCCAGCTGCAGGCTGCCATAAGTTCCTGTGATAGGATGCTAATCCAAACAACCAAACTTGAAGCTACATGCTAACAAAAGGCTGGGAAACATTTTCTACTTTAAAAATCCCCTCATGTGGCCCAAAAGGCACATGTTTTTGATTTTCTGATGAGAAGGTTGGAATACTTTACTGGGCTATGAGCCTAGTTGTTTAACACATTGCTGGAGTTTAATGTATATGCTCATTTGTTCTAGTACGACTGCACTCGCATGCTGACATGTGCCTCCTCTGTGGAGGTGATTTTTCACAGTCTCTCCCGTTTTTCATATCTGCTAAGTGAGGTGGGAGTGGCCTGTGGTTCTGAATTATCTTTCATAGGAAATATTTGCATATTTGCGTATGACAGTCTAGAAGGCAGAGGTAGAGTATCCCCCTGGAGCAAAGGGCAGGCATGCTGAGTGCCCGATTATAAGGAATTCTGGTATTTTTAGTTCATGGTTCTCTTCTGGAACTTAACCCACCATCAGGGCAAGCTTCCCTGGGACCATTCATGCCATGCTGTCGGACCTGGGAGTGGGGAGATTTGATGCACATATGTTGAGGGTTATATACTTTAGTCTCACCTCTTCTGTCAGGATCTGTGAAATATTATAGGCTAACTTGCTTACTTGAAAGCAAGACATAATCTCAGTTCCTTCAGAGTTATAGGCAAACTTATATCCTTATTTAAATAAATATTCTAGTGTCCTAAAATTCAAATATTTTGATCTTCATGTTGGTGATGAGAAGACAAGAGTGTAGCAAAGTTAAGGAACTTTTCCTAGGTGACAAAGCTAGCTAGTGAGATTTTTGTCTGATTCTGATTCCAGAACCACTTTCTTTCCATAACACCATGTTGATGTGCCACATTGCAGACATTAAAATGCCTGTAGTTCTGTTCCTGGCACTGAGCCAGTTAAAATTCTGCTGGCCCTAAGTCATTGCATTGCTATGATAATAAAAACGTTCAGGCAAAAAAAAAAAAAAAAAAAAATTGAGCAGCATAAACAAGATAAAATCATCAGAAGTTCCTTCCATTAAAAAATGATAAAACAGTTGTTCTCTAGTATTTACATAATGCTTGGCTCAAAGCCCTGACCTGCTGTCCTTTCTTCTGGAGAACAGATGAGAGCCATTTCTCAGCAGGCAGGATGGATTGAGTCATGTGAAATCCAGACTAAACAATGGGGTAGCAGGTAAGCTCCAGTGATGGAGGGGTATGGTGTCCAGCTCTAGGGTGAGAGTCTGAGTTTTGGTCAGCCTTTGGAAACCCCTTTGTAAAATTCCACAGTGCATTTTCATCTTGTATCCTGGTTATTTTGATCATTGCCTTACCCTCATGACAGAGATTGACCTGATCCATCAGGGGTCCCAACTACCCATCTGAATAATCCAAATTTCTTGGCATGGGTCGTAATATTCTCTATGGTCCAGCCTTTATCTATTTTCCCGATGACCCAAGCCCCCTTCCTCTCTGAAGCTTTCCTATCCATCTCATTCCCCAGTAGCACTGCTGTCTCCCTTTTCAATTTTCAGATTTGTCTGTATCGCTTTACCTTCAGCATCTTCAACACTTTGCAACTGTATAAATTTGCATTTTTATCTTCTCCACCAAGCATCAACCCCTTAAAGCAAAAACTATTATCTTCGGCTATGTAATTCCAATACTTACATGGGTACTTGATAAATGTTTGTGTGCACGCACGTGCGTGTGCACCCACACACACACACCACGAACACACACAAACATTATCACTAGATAAGTCTCTGACTTATGATAATTTGACTCAGGAGTTTTTGACTCTATAAAGTTGGGGAATGGTGTCTATATAGTTATTCTTGAGCCAGGGTTGCTGGATGACCAAAACCTGGCCTGGGTGCTCACCCCAGTACTTGTAAGCCACACCAGCATTTGGGAGTCCTGGTGCCCCTGTTCTGCTCCCCGAGGAGTTCCTATGGGTCAGCTTCAACCTGCTTACAGGAGAAGGGGCGGGCAGATCTGGTTCAAATGCTTCCTCTACCACACTGCTAGTGGCAGTGTGACTTCCAGCACCCCTCAATCTTCCTGAGCTTCAGTTTCTACAGATCGAAGGGACAGATGAGGATATCAGCCTGCCTGACAGGAAGACATGAGGGTTAAAGGAGGCTCATGTGCAAGGAAGCCAGGAGTTCTTCCCATGTGCCAGGTGCCCTTCTCCCCTCTCCCACACTCTCTTTTCTCTCTGCCTGTTCATGGCTCATCTCCCTTTCCTCCTTGATGGTTTTTGGAAGCATCAATGTATATGTACCTGTGCATATTTACCCTGACCAATATTTCTTGCAGATATACTTTGTAATGACACCAGGTGCACTGCTGGAGAAGGGATCCAAGATAAAGAATTCTATTCCCTGAACTGAAGGGACATTATTTATTTGCCCACGTGTGTGGTTTGTGTGTGTGTGTGTGTGTCTACATACACTACACTGTTTGATCACTCTACACTTTTGTGTGGCCGTCTGACCTGTGACTTCTCCTCCTAGCATCTGGACTGGGCCACTTTAGATGACCCACCCTTGCAGCTTGTGTCACCACTGATACTGCTGAGCTTGACCCTGGCTGGGCCCAGTCCCCACAGGCTGGGAAGCAGCCTGTTTCTGTAGCTTCCCAGGGCACTGGACAGGCAAAGGGAGTGAGGATGAGAGGAAATGAGGGAGGTAAGGCAAGAAAACAGGAAACTGGCTCATGGCCAGGCTCAGGCAGCACAGAGGGAGAAAAGGATGTCGCCAGAATCCTTCCCCATGTAGACATCAGCCCTCAGGGAGGTCAGGGGCTCAGGGACCACTCTCTCCTTCGAGTCTTTTCCTAACACAGGTATGTCAATGTGAGACTGCTCTGACTCAATCAGAGCAAAGACAAGGCCTCTGCCAGCATCCTCTCAAAAGCTGGAAGTGACGTCACCACAGGAAGAGATGCTAGAAGTCACTCTGCTTTTCCCAAATATGTTCCAAGGAATCCTGGCCCACCAGTCTGTCCCAGGTACTTTGTAAGGCAGTGGGGGCTCTGACCAAGCGGGGTTGGAAGATGCTGCAGTGTTCTGTTCCTTCCCTCAAGAGCCAGTTTATGTTGTCCTAATAATGGTGCCTAGAAGCTCTGTGCTGGCTTACCTTTGCTTCATTACATCACTTTCGAAACTTATTTGCACACATAACACCCTTTTCCTTCAGGCTACTCCATAATTATGATATTGGGCTGGCATTCTGTAGATCTGAGATTTAGCGGTATGCAGTTGTGCCCCTGTTGTCTGCAATTTTGCTTTGCAGTTTCAGTTACCCATGGTCAACTGTGGTCTGAGACTTTTAAGTGGAAAATTCCATGAATAAACAATTCATAATTTTAAAGTAACTTTTATTACAGCTTATAGTTATAATTGTACTATTTTACTATTAGTTATTATTGTTACTTTTACGGTCTAATACATAAATTAAACTTTATCTTAGGTAGGTATACAAAACAAAGCAGAAACACTTTACCATATAGAGTTTGGCACTATCTTTGGTTTCAGGCACCCTACAAGGGTCTCAAAACACATCGCCCTCAGAGAAGCAGTGACAAGTGCAGCCCAGTGTTTAACTGTATAAATGAGGGAGGAAGTGGGGCTGTGATCTTGGCTCAAGTGGAGAAAGGCCTCACACTGGACCTGCCATTTTCGACTCCTATGAGCTCTCTGCTTCCCTCCTATGATACTTCTAGCTCCTAAGGCTAGTGGTCATTCCCAACTGCGTTTGGATCCCAACTAACTTCCTAGGGAAAGCAAGGGGCTGACTTTTGCTGATTCTTAGGTGGAGATGCTGCAGTCTCAGTAAGCAGAGGGTCTCTGAGCAGACCTGGCACCCCAGGGTACAGTCTTTAATCTCAGAGCTAGTGATCTCTGATTGTTGAGCTCTTGGGAATCCCACATACTCACCTGGGAGGGGACAGTTAATGAATTCATTTTCTCTCTCTGTTATTCATCTTAAATGACAGCTACTCCTCAGGAGGCACTTAGAAGTGATGCAATGAGGAAATTTCATCAAGCAAGACATGCACACTATTAGTGTGCTCGTGACGCTGGACACAGAGTGCTGAGTGCCTGATGTGTTTACTCCTGCCCTTGATGCTGTGAGTTAGGTACAACAGAGGTACCATTCTTGGCATCATTTCCTCTGGAAGGATAAGAACACTGAGGCCAGAGGGGTCACCCAAGTTTCCCAAGGTCCCAAGACCAGGAAAGAGGAGCCAGAACCCAAACCCAAGGACAAGGGCTCTGCAGTCCATGTTCTAAGCCCTGCCCACTGTGAGTGTGGACAGATAGGGTTTACACATAGTTGTTTAACTGGCCCATTTTTTCTGATATTATGAATTAGAAAATCAACCCTTTAGCTGGTGCCTTGATCCCTAGCACAATCTATTTCCAGAACATTTTATCCTCACATTTGTTTCACGCAGCTGGTGCCTGTGTGGGTAAAGATGCTGGTCTCTTGTCCCTGCTTCCTTGCCACAACTAGACAGCCGCAGCCCCATGCACATAGATCCTGTCAGAAAACAAAATCACAGTAGGGGCAAAGCAAGAGTTTCCCAGATAATTATGGTAGTGTGGTTGGACTCTGAATGCTTGGTTACACTTCAAATTTATTTCCAATCTTTTTTGAGCGGGATCAATGGGAAACAAAGGTGCCTTTTAGTGCAGGCACCTGCTGTTACTCCCAAATGTCAAGGACTGACATTTGATGCCACTATCCTCAGTCAGTGTGTCACTGTCAGGCTTGCTCGCATGCCCACCCCATTCACACCCAGGAGACGACATCCTGCAATGCTCTGCGAGACTTGGATGTCTGGACTTCCTCTCTTCCTGGAAGAACAAAGCCTTGCCTCCCGGGTGGCCACTGCATCCCTGGAGAGGTGTCTTGCAGCTTGGGCCTCCTTCTTCCCTCCCTAGGCAGGCACCCCGTGTTCTCAGGTGCAAATCTCAGGAAGAGCCTGTGCCCTTGAGGTCTGCCTGGTGGGGCCACTGATGGTGAGAGGCGTGTTTTCTATCCTGCACTTAGAGGAGGCCTTTGGGGAGGTGAGGTCTGGCATCCGTCAGATGAAGTACTCCTTTTTGCTGTTGTCACCAGCATCCTGGAGAGCAGGGTCACTCTGCAGGGCCACGTCAGCGCTCTCAGCAAACTCTGTGCCCTTGGCCTCGTTGGTGTGATATGTACCCTTGTGCCGGAACAGGTATCGGAGCATGACGAGGAGAAGGCAAAGCAGGACGAGGGCCACAGCGGTGATCACAGCTGTCAGAGGGAAGATATTTGGGGGTCAGTCTAGAGCAGGTGCCTTGGGGCCGGGGAGGTTTCAGAACCCGCAGGGGCTGTGTCAGCAGGACAAACATGCTGCTGTAGTAGCACCAACCCCAGGCTGGATGGCTGCTTCCCACCTTGTGCTTTTCCTTCTGGTCATCTCAAAGGATCCCTTTTCTCTTCTCTTCCCTGCTCCTTTTTTCCCTAGCTGCCTCCATCTGCGCATTACTGGGTAGAACAGCAGCCCAGGGCTGGGCCCTGATGGGAGACACTCCTGTCTACTGAGGAGGACGGATCTGTAAGAGGACCCTTGTGGAATGTGCAGTTGGTATGGTGAAAATATATGGGTTGGTTTGAACTGAGCAGCTCTTGGGATGCTGAATTTTCATGTCTTCAGATGACCCCCAACTGGTGTTTTTCTGTGACATCGGGCTTTCTGTGTACAAACCAGGGAAGTCCCAGAAAACTGAGACAAGGTGGGTGGTTGCTCTCTGTGCACTCTACAAAGGATAAAATGACGAGTGTTTCTGACAGTGCTCGGGCCAGGTGGTGGGGTGTGTGGTTTTGAGAGCTGCTCCTCACCCAGCCTGCTGCCATTCACTCTTGGGGACTGAAGACTGTTGAGGCTGGAAGGCGGAGTGTACTTGGCCTTACACAGGCCACTGTGCCAGGTTAAGAGCTCGGGTTTGTTGGGATGGGGGGAGGGCAGATGAGTGAGGCCTGAGGCACGTCAGAAATGGTCGCATCACTCATGGTGTTGGGAGTGATGGGATGAGGTGTCAGGATGCCAATTTAGGAAGGGCTGAAGGGCAGCAGGCTCATGGTGGCGTTGACTTTGGCCATTTGCTTTCAGGCTGCAGACTAAGCTTCTGTATTTGGAATCGGGTTTATTCAGGGGCCTTTGGAGACATTACTGGGGAACGTGGGGAGGCTAAAACTGCTCCCAAGTCCCATTTTTATGGAACAATTTTCTAAACTCCCTTCTGCCTTCTGAGGGAAACTAGTGTCTATACAATGCTAATAATAGTGTCTAGGAAGAAAAGGCCCAGGGCCCAATGAGGGTAAGAAATGTTACATTAAATACAATTGAACAGGTGTCTTTGATGGCTTCCTTCCCTTTTTCTTTTAGTTGGAGAGATTCCCTGAGCTGCTAACAAGCTAGGATCAAGGTTGGGAGAGAGGGTGCGTGTCACCTTCCTGGCCTGCGTGTCAAGGTCTCTCTTGCCCTCAGCATGCTTCCGCACTGTCCACTAGGCACCAGGCCGAGCATTTCTTAGGAAGACTGGACTCTTCCATCCCACAATCAGAGCCTCCTCTGAAAAAGGAGGTGGCCATTGGGCCCTCAGGCCAGTCCTTCCCTGGGACCTCTCCCGGTTGCCAGAAGGGCCCATCGTGCCAGCTTACCTGCGATGATGGCGATGTCCGTTGCTGTGGGAAAGGGCGTCCATGTGTCAGGTGCTGGTGCGGTTGCTGCAGAGAGAACAGAGGAACCTGATGGGACAGGAAGGCTCTCTGCACAAACAAAACTTTGGCCTGAGCTCACGTTCTCTGCACACCTCTAAGCAGCTCTGTGAATGGCCTGGGTAGGCAGAAATGGCCCAGTACCCGCACAGGCTACTGCCTGGGTGTACTGACTTGACCTGGTTCAGCTTGGCTATTGACCAGGCTAGAGAACCCTGACAACCCTCAGAATCACTAGGTTCCTCAGGACTGTGGGGTCCTTGCTGAATTCGAGCACCGAGACTGGTGTCCATGCTGGTGGATGCCCAATGGGCATCTTCAGTGTGAGTGAAGTGTGCACAGCTGGGTTTAACACAGGCCATCTGGGAAGTGTCTGTTCTTGCCAGGTGTTGCTTTCGCTGCCTTCGATCTATGCTCTCCTCTGGTCCTCACAGCAATCCTGTGTGTGCCTGGTGTTATACGCCTATTCTTCAGATACAACAGTCTTAGCCATGGGGTTAGCCTGTGGATGCATGACTCATCCAAAGACTGGTTGGGACTTTGTTGTCCCTCTTATCTTTGGGGTGCACTTTCCCTCTTGAAAACCCCTCCCTGAGTCCCCTCCCTAAATCTTTGCATCCATTCGACTCCTAGACTTGCGGCCCTGTGGCTATTTGAGTTACTGTGTTTTTCTGCAGCCTAGTGACATGGCTGGTGGGCGAAGATCTTAGGCGAGTGGGAACCTTGAGCTGCTGCATACAATGTGTCCTCTCCTTTGGGAGATGAGTGAGGACGATTTATTAGACCACAGAAATATCAGTGTTAACATGGAAATGCCGTGTTCCTATTACAGCAACCATGCATATTAAAAAGAGATGTGTGCTTCCTAGCAGACATTTCAGCTCACAGGACCACTGCAATTAGAGTGCTTTAAGGTCATTCTCCCAGGGAAGCTGCGTGGTAAGAAACTGGCTGTGAGTGTCAGGAGGGACAGCAAGGCAGGGAGAAACAGTCCCAGGCTGGAGGCCCAGAACAGGCTGGCAGAAGAAGTCTGAGAGAAGCAAGAAGTCTGAGACCAGCAAGGAGCCTGGAGGTAGGGAGGAGGATGAAACCAGTTATCAAGTCAACAAAGAGAAAGATCACGCATGCGCCCAGAGGTAGGCTGGGAGTGTTTATGAGCTGAAGCACCAAGCTCACATGGATACTGGACTCTGCTGCCCACTGTGGACAATGCAGCCTGTGACCCAGTACTTAGCACATAGTATACTTTACAGATATTCACTGAAGGTATGAAAAATGCAGAGCATATGAATGTGTGGATGCAGAGGCTACAGTCCAAGGCCTTAAACATCAGACACCTCACAGGTCAGTAAGGAAGGGGACATCTCACTCAAGGATAGTTTCACAAGCTCCAGTACCTACAGTTCACCCGAAGAGTTTTCCGGGTGAAGACCAGCATTTCTTAAATCCAGTGCAGCCAGCCCATTTCTTCTTGTCTTCAGAACAATCAGTAACTGCTTACATATACCAGGCACTGTTCTCAGCTTTTAAGATACTTTAACTTACTTTGGTCTCTGCAAAAATTCCTTTTGGTAGGAGTTATCATTACTCCATTTTACAGATTTAGAAGCTGAGTCAAGAAAGCACTTATCATCTTCCCTGGGTCAAGCAGCTACTAGGAGCATTACGAGTGAGTCAGTCAGAGCCCAGGCAGCTTAGAGTGCAAGTGAAACCACGAAGGCACTACCAGGGCAGGGGAGCCTTGGTAAGTGGGCCTCAGACCTGCAGACCCAGTGAGAAAAGTCCCTGAAGCAAGTGTGGGGATTTGGGGGCAGGGAGGGCTGTGGTGCGTCTGAGGTGGAGTTCAGGAACAGGATGGCTGAGGGGAAGGGACAGACACCGCTGAGGGCACAGAAGTTTTCCTTGGCTCATACTGGGTTTTTTCCTTTCTGTTCTGGCTTCCTCAAGGCCCCTGTAAGAGTGAGGGTGACAGCTGACAGCTGAAGTTAATCAACTTTTCCTTTTGATTGAAAAGGTCAAATGCATTTATTTTACCTTGACGATTTGCTGTTATTATTCCAGAACGGATATAGGATTCAGGGTTTGGGTTTCTAACAGAGTAGAGTGCCCCGTGGAAGCAAGTGGATAGCTCAATCCCCATCCACCCACTTCTCCCAAGAGCCAGTCGCTGTTGGCAGAGCTCTTTGTATTTATCCGCCCAGCCACAGGCTGAAGAAAGGTCTTTATCCCAGGAGCTGGTTGCAGAGTTATAGCATCTTGATATGAAAAGTTAGAGTCCCCTAACTCTCTATGTGACAAACCATCACTGGGCCAGAGGATCACTGCAATTATAGTGCTCACCTGGGCATGTGGACAGAATTCACAGGTGGTGCCTGTGTCAGTTGGCCCCCCTGTGCCAGAACATGCTTGCCAGTCTCAGGGCCAAAATGATGGCCCTGGAATTCTCTCTGTGTCACTTTGTAAACAATCCTCCTAATCCCAGGGCCACCAAAGTGTGATGCAATGTAGTTATACAGCTTTGACAGCCTGTAAAATGGTCCAGCCACGTTCCTCCTCTTAAACACTATCCTATCTCACCTGCTGCTGCTACTGTACAGAATCATAACCCACACATTGGTAGTAGAGGGCCTACAGTCTGTACCACATCATCCACATTAATGCCAGTATTGTGTGGGGGCTTGGGGCCGGGCTGGCCAGAAGCGGCCTCTGGGTCCTGGCGGACATGGTCATTCCTGCATTAACGAAGGGACTCAGCAGTCAGAAAACAGAGTCAGGAAGGGGCATCTGTGCTCTGTGTGCACCTTGGAGTCTTGCTCGGCATTTTTCACATCTAGGCATTTGCTTGGGGACGTGTTCCTGGGAGAAGGGCTGTAAAGTAGGGGAGGATGTCATAACTCACAGCTCAGGGTATCTGGTTCCAAGTTCTTCTCTACATATCCTCTGCTATTATCCCTGAGAACTTTTTTTTTTTTTAATTAATAGGGCCTTATTTTAACACCATGGCCAGTCTGCTTTGGTTGAGCTCTAGGGGCCAAGTTTAAGGTGGAATACCTTGTCTCTATTCTAGGGCCAGAGAATAAAAATAGAATCCTCCTAATTTGAGGATGGCGATAGCATGGGCAATCAGCAAGAAAGGTTTTTTGGCTGAGCAGGATGAAGTCATCACTGGTCACACAGGGATTCTCCAGGGAGAGGACCTTGTCATCTTTGAGCTGTGTGGTGTTTGCAACTTATCACAAAGGCAGCAAACACCCTCTCTATGTGTGGGATAGAAAGAAGGAAAAGGGATTATTCCCCTGACCCCCCACCCCCAGCAGACACATCCTACCTACAGTTTTTAGAAAAATCAAGTTTAGAAGCTACAGGAAGGGAGAAGGAGAAGATTCTGCTCAGGCTGTCATGTCTGGCTCCTGAGGAGATCACTGCAACTACAGCTGCTTGGGGTGGGGAGGGGGCTGCAGCAGCTGGTGACTGAACAAGCTCAGTCTAAAGACAATGCAGAGACCAGCAAAAGGGAGCTTATTAGTTTTGTTCTCCTGAGTACGAGCAGAAAAATCTACCCTTGAAGAAATCAGTGTGGCCTTAGCACATGGAGAAGGAGACCCAGCTATTTCTAATTTGTGTGTGTCTCTTTATCAAGCTGATTGATCAACACAACGAAAGGAGAACAAAGTCCTTAGGATTTGAAGCTGAGGGCAACAGAGAAGCAGCAGATGACAGCTAAGAGTGACACAGCACCCAGGGTCCAGGCTCCAGGGAACCCCACTTCTGGACACAGTCCCCTCCTGAGATCCCAACAGTTGGTCTCACATCTTCCAAAGGGGATTTCTTTCCTCCTCAGAACCCAGTCCCAGACTTTCCTCTAAACTCTGTTACACTTGCTTTGGTATTTCTCCACAGGGACCAATATCTTGCCATGGGCTACTTTGCTCACTTTTGCTTTAGGGTCTTTTTGCCTCACCTCTCTATGGGTGTAGCTAATGGACACAGTATCCATGGTCGTGGAGCATGGACCTCTGTTCTGATGAGTGTGGACCATGTGCCTCTCAAACCACTGACTTCTGGTACCCCTCTTAGGGTAGAGCATGCCAGTTCTCTGGGTGGATGGACATGACATACCTGCACAGAACCAGGCTGAGTATGTGGGTATACTCCACGTAAAGAACATACCTCCTATTTCTTTTGCAGGAGCCAAAGGGAAGTTGAGAATATGGCAGCACTCAGTGAGAATATGTTGGATGGTGCATAACACGGGAACAAATTAATGTATGCACCATCTACTGAGCATACAACACAAAAACCCAAGAAGGGAAGGAATTAAATACTCACAGGAATGAGTCTCCTTAAATGGCACCTCATCCTACCTTTCCCATCTTGAAATAGGATGACAACTGAAGTTTCCTTTCTGTCTCCTGCCTAATAAGATTATTGTGGGGCTGAGGAACTGGGGGAATTGTTAGACCACAGATCACTACCTAGTCCTGCAACTTGGGATTCTGAGGAGTCATCGGGTTAGAAGTGGGACCAAGAACTTGCATTTCTAACATATTCTTGAGTGCTGCAGATGCTGGTGGTCCATGACCTAACTTGGAGAAGCACTGGGCTCATGACTGTGAAAGTTGTTAGTCACATAACCCAGTTCAAATGCCAAGCATTACACTCTACCTCTTGCAAGAGGGTGATAGTAGACTGATTAGATTAGCATAGTTCTTAATGTGGCTGAATGGAATTACCAAAGACAGAAGACTCACCGAGTGGCACCAACCAATAGGTTTGCGGCCAGAATGGAATAAAAATGAAAGGGGGGCTTGCTGCTGCTGGTGATTTTTTTGTGCCTACAGTGCCTCAGACTGTTTCTCCTCTGTGACACCCTCTACTATGTCTCCTTGCCTTCAAGCCAATCGACTACGGACTGAAACTTCTACAAACTGATAACTAAAATAAACCTTTCCTCCTTTAACTTGTGGGTGTTGAATATTTTGTTCTAGCAATAGGGAAGTAACTAAGACAGAGCTAATTCTCTTTATTCATGCAAATACAGCTGCCTCAGCCACAACTCTAAGCTAGTGTCTCCTTTTTTCCAACAGCCACCTGCTACAGCTAGAGAACTAGCACAGCTGAAAACTGAGCATCGTCACCTCTACCTATTCCCGTGCCTGCCCCACATGACTATTTCTGGGCATCAAGACAGGGCATCCTTGTGCCTTCCTTTAGAAGATGCACATACCGTTTTGAACAATGTGAGATTTCAGACTCCTCACCCTTATTGTTTGGAAATAAAGCAAGTCCTCAGCTGCCCACCTCTGGCATCCTCTTCTGTATCAGCTGATCACAAAGAGAACAATGGACAGGAAAATTACCACTGTCGGCTAATTTAAGGGTAGGAGGGCTCTGATGATATAGTGAGGAAATATTTTTCCAAAAGAATGTGTCTGGGGCAGCCAAATGGCAAAGGAAATATATATCTGCAAATATTCTGAGGAATAGGAAGGGATTACGCATCCCGGTCAGCATGTGTTTGCTTTCTCGGCTCCAAACTCAACCACAGTGTCTGCAGCACAGGAAGCTGTGGATACATCTATGCGCAACTCCCTCCAGACAAATTCTTGAAGAGAGTGAAGATGCACAGGAAGGCAGTGAGTACTCCCAGAGGACCCCCCCTCCCGTGAGGCTGGGGCTGGGTGCCCAGCACGCACCTGTGAGGCCAGCACCCTTCCAGACATGGAACAGGCAGTTGAATGAGTGGTGGCTCAGCTATGACACTCGTGCTTGAACCATCTTGAGGACTGATGCAGTCTCTCTAGCATCTTTCTTCACATGTAAAATGTGGCATCACTACTGTGTAGACACATATGGGCAAGCACCTAGTGTAGTGCACAGCACAGGGAAGCTATTATCATTGCCAATTAACTGGCATAATCTTGGTTAAAGTGGTGCTCTCAAAAACAGACATCTTCAGTATGGTTGTACACTATTTGGCAAGTGTATCACCGTAAGAATTGGACAATACACTCCTAGTGGTGATCCCACATAAATAATCGGGAATGGAAACAGAAATCAACCCTCTGGAAAGCATACTGCAATGTGGTTTAAAATGGAAATAAAAGAGAGAACAGTTAAAATGTTCCCCATTAGGGTACTGGTTATGTAAATTATAAATGTAAATGTAAATTATATTAATATAAGTACTGGTTATGTAAATTATAAATATAAATGTAATTTATATTATAATTATGTAAACTATATTAATATTATGCAGTTATAAAGTGACATGTAAATTCTTAGTGACAGCAGGAAATGCTTATGGTATGATGTTAAGTGAAGGAGACAGATCCCTATAAGTAGAAGTGATGCTAAATTCCTTCTTAGATGAAGGAATTAAAAAGAAGGATGCTGAAAATGTTCAGTGGTGGCTTTTGGGTGGTGGATGGTCATAGGTGGTTTTGTTTTCTTCTAGTATATAGTTTTTGGTACTTTCTAAGCCACCTACAATAACCACGTCCATTCAGATATGGACATGAATCTTCAGGATTGACCACTGTGTTTCAGAACCTTCAAAGCCTCAGACCAGGAGGTCTGGGAAGGTTCCTTCTACCTTCTCTGACTTGCCTGCCTCTTTCCATGCTGCCATTGGGTACCTTCACCTCCTCCAGTGTCCCCCACAAACCAAGGTTAGGCTATTATTGGATGGCAGGACCTTGGCCACCCTCTTTGGTGACCCTCGGTGTATTATAGTCACACCCTTTGCCTAGCCAGAGGACATCTCCCTAGCCAAGCGGTCATTTTCATTCCTAATACAGAAATGCACAATGTAGAAAAGAGCTGGTGCATTCAGTGAATACTGGTCCTCTTAAACTTTCCCTGGGCCATGATTGTGGACTAAGAATTTGAGCAGTGGCTTGAGTTCTAAAGTCCTCAAGTGGATGAACAGGTGGTGCATGCCAGTAATCCCTGTAATCTGGGAGCCTGGGGCCAAACGATCAAAAATTCAAGCCAGTTTGGGCAATTAAGTGATTTAGTGAAATTCTGTCTCAATATAAAAACCGCTAGGGATGTAGCTCCGTGCAAAGACCCTGGGTTCTTTTCTAGGTACCACCAAAAAGAAGAAGAAGGAGAAGGAAGAGAAGGAGGAAAAAAGAGAGGGAGGAGGAGGAGGAGAAAAAAAGCTTTATAGGTATCCATCTCTGCACTCATTTTTGAGCTGCTACTAGAGGATAAGGACTGCATTTCTTGCTGTGATTGTCACCTTGACTGGATCAAAAGACTCCTGGAGAGAGGACCGGACCGTGGGTGCTATCCCAGGATCTTAGATGTATGTGCTGTTAGAAGGTGGGACCCAGTTAGCCGTGGGTCACTGTGTATGTGGCTTTGGTGGCACATGCCTGGCTGTGCTCTGCTTCCTGCTGCCTCAAGTGAGCAGCTTTGCTCTGCCAAGCCCTTCTGCCTTATGTTTCTGCCTTGGATCCACTCAAGCACTGACTAAAATCTCCGAAACCATGAGACAAATTAAATGTTTCCTCCTTAAGTGGAGGGTGTTGGGAATTTTGTTCCAGTGACCAATCCACGGGCCTTAACTCCTGCTATGTCCTGGTGAGGGAGTACGTGATGATGCACAAGATGTCCTTTCATGGGTCCCAGGTAAGGACTCTGGCGTTTCCATCTGTTCTGCAGCCTGTCTCTCCCAAGCTGAATAAATGCCCTCCTTCAGATTCTTTAAGTCACTAAACTCACTCCACAGATGAGCAACAGGCTTTTCTGTGATGTGAGTCGTGGTCATTCATCAAGTTCTTGGCATGCAACCAGCCTCTGTAGAGTCCTACAGACATTCCCCTGCATGCATGCATACGAGCCCATGTGTGCTGTGTGTGTTCACACAGATGATGTGAGTTCAGACCACTAGACCTCTGTGCAGCCCGGAGTCACACTGTTGTGCCCTCTGAGGCCCTTGCTCTCTGGCTAGATCACGTGCACTAATCTTCACCACTTCTCTGGGGGACTTAATTTGCTTTAAAAATCATATAATTGCATTTTCAGCATAATTAGGTACCTAATTACATGGCTAAATGTCCTCGATCAGGCTCCATGTGTAAATAATGATGATTTAGTTAGCCACGCTCTGCTATTGGGTTTCTAGGAGGCTCATCTGTCTGCACACAGGGTGTGGAAAGTGTTTTTCTCCTTCCCTCATGAGGTCTGACAGGCAGGAGCAGCAGAGTCAACTCCCGAGTGAGCAGAACAATGGGGCAGGGGGAGGGGGAAAAGACTTCTGCAGCCTCTGCTCCAAGTCTCCAGGGGAGCCTCTAGGAGGACAGCGGAGCACCTGTGGTCTAGGCAGACACTGGGGCTTCCCCAAAATGCACACCATGGAAGGAGAGGACAGTGTGACCTAGAGACATCAGAACTCACCATGCGAGAGTGAGGGGGTGGAGGCGCAAGGTGAGTCATCCTGGCCAGAAAGAGAAGCACGGGAACCGGAAGCCGGGTGTCACTTCTGCTGCTCCCTAGCAATGCTTTGCTTCTTCTTGTATCTGGGAGGAGCCCTGAGAGAACTGTCAATGCTACAGGAAAGGCCCTGTACCCGTGGGAGAGAACCTTCCTCCATGTGTCGTGCTCAGGCTCTTAGAAGATCTGCTGCTGAAGGGCAGGTGTGAGTTTGCACAGGCTACGAGCCAGTCTTATTGTCTGTGACACTGAAATTGGCCATGGTGTGGACAAGGCAATTCATAACTTCCCTACATAGCAAAATCCCTTCAATAACGATGTGCTTAAACTGTCTTTTGGGACAAACATCCAGAATCAGCTCAAGTCTGGTTGGGAACCAGCTTTCTAAGAATGGACATGGGCAGGAGAAGGCAACTCCTCCAGTCAATGACCTTTGGATGTCACAAGTTCAAAATCCCCTCACTGAACATGATAACTATCCCCAACAAGAAAGAAGCCTGGCTCCTGTGGAGAGGGATGGTGGACTGCATAAAAGAACCCTAAAACTCCTCCTTT